AGAAGGCGGACTTGTCCACGAGCACGACCTATACAGTACTGCAGCAGTCAATTCCTAGCGCTTGTTTCAGGACATAGGACAGCATGGGCCTTGCCGCCGCATTCCAGGACACTGTTGGCCGCCGAAACGCCGGCGAGGCCACCGCCCACGACCTTAGCAGCTTCTCAGCAGCTTCTCAGCAGCTTCAGCAGTGCTAAGCTTCGAGGCTGTGAGCTACGGTACGCGGATGTTGCGTTGACGTGTTAGTCCCCTTCCGAAGTCTCCTGTTGCTGAGCACTTCACAATAGCCTGCGTCATGATGGGACCCTAGAGTCTGAGCGGGAGAAGTGGCTGCGGTGGTCGCTGCACAGTGTGGACAATGCCTGACAGGTCATAAATTTCCCAAGTCTCCATTCGCCTGCATGTTTCCCTTCACAGCTGCACCCTTTTTCATTCCTCGCTTCGGCTTCGTTTCCACTCTGGGCCAGCCATTGCTTCATCCGGCTGGCCGCTTGCTGAGGCGGGGAAACCTGCCAAAGCAAAGCGATGGGAGATCTGCTCAAACCGCCCTGGCCATATACGCTTGGGGGTTCGTGAAGGGCATGCTTTGGCTTCGAGCAGACAAGCCTGCAACTTTGCATGGAGTTCTTCGGCCAAGGCGTCGTTGGCTACGGTTTTTTGGATGACACACTCACGAGTAAGGTCTGCCGGTCAAAGTTTTGCATACGAACTAAATCACAGAAGTCTCCCGTTCACGCAGGCGCAGGCTGATTGGAAGCTTAAGCAGCGCTTGCTTCACAAGTGCCTACCACAGCAGCTGTCTGAAGTAAGCCGCGCATTCCAATGGTGCCTGCCAGCACTGGCGGCATTGGCCGTGAGCCTCGCAGGGCAAAGCTGCCAGCACCGTGCGGCGCCGACATGGCAGGGCGATCATCCTGCGTCCAAATTCATCCAGCGTGTCACCGGAAAAACCACCTTTAAGCCATAGAATGCTTTGTGCAATACTAGTAGCTTGAAATTCTCTTTGCACGCCTCCGGGAAGCCCAAGCCCTCTCGCTGAGCGGCCCAGGCACTGTATTGGTACAGGACCTGGCAACCGGACCCATTCTGCCCGCATCAACGCGGCAGCTGCATCCATGCTGAGGATGGAGCTACACTGCAGGCGCAAGCAACGTTCCTGCGATGGCGTTGCAAAGGACATCAGGGGGACTCTGCACTTTGCCTGCGAAGCTCTTGTGCTGCCGAGACGCAGGGAGCCAACACCACCGCCAAACTGGGGGATGTAGACAAAGCCTCGGCTGCCCCATCACCAAGGCCAAAAAAAACAGAGGCTGGTTCTTGATCCATGTCAACAGCGCAATGGGATGAACCCACAGCGCGAGCTCGGACAAGCAGCTGTCGCAGTGAGCAATTTGGTCGCGGGTAAGTCCTGTAGAAGCTGGTGTTTGCTGCGCAGATGGCTGTCAGCTCGGCTAGACCTCTGATTATGCCCCGTCCCTTGCCTCCACGCTCGTTGCCCATCATGAAGGCCGTTGGCCCTCGGAAGGGGCACTCGTGCAGCGATTTCGCCTGCAACACACAGCTGGTTGCTGTGCCCATAAGAGGATCCTTGTGCCAGAAGAACCGAGAAGGACCCACGAAATGCAGCTGGCAGCCTTTGCAAGGCAGCTTCTTTCTCAAATGTAGACTCGAGCCTGCTCTAAGATCTCTACGCCGCAGACTGCAAGGCGGCCTGAGGGGTGCCGGGCCTTCCAAGCACACAACCACACTTCGCTCCCCACCGCATGCGAAGGCATACATGCAACATACAAATGCACATGCACACATACATCATTACCGGCATTCATACATATATATATATATGTATATCTATATATACCTATATATATATGTAAATATACACATATGGTGCAAAGGTCAAAGAAACAAAGGGTCCAGGGGCAGAAGCACTTAGGCAGCTGTCCACGGCCTTCAGCGCCTCGATGCCTTGCGGGAGTGTCGGGGCATGCTCGATCGGCACTGCCCCCTGGCCGCTCTTTTTGCAGAAAGCCTCAGGATGCTTACGCAACCGTAGGGGATGTATAGGGGATATATAGGGATTATCTAGGGGATATAGGGATTATATTGGGGATATCTAAGGATTATATAGGGGATATATAGGGTAATATACGGGATATATAGTGATTATATAGGGGATATATAAGGATTATATGGGGTATATATAGGGTAATATACGGGATATATATAGGGTAATATAGGGGACGAATAGGGTTTTCAGGGATGATGAAGAAGAAAATGGAGACTACTATTCAGGGTTTAGGATCTGCGCAGCACCTGACTTCATTGGGCTATTACGTAATCAAACGGAAAAGAACATGGAAAATTAAATGAGACCTAGGGGTAATATGAGTATTATTTGGGCTACAGTCAATATTTCATACAGAATTTGATGGACATGGGTTCCTTATTGGGGACTAGATTAGGGACTACACTACACTATCAGAGAGAACCCTGTGTCCACCCTGAATGTTCCCTATGCTCCCTGCCTGGATGTGTGACGCTCCAGGACATGAGGGGATATATAGGGGATGTATTGGGATAATGGAAAGAAAATGGAAACTACTATATGATAGGGTTATATAGGAATTTTGCATATCTATATAAGGAATTATAGGGGTTATAGTCTAAACTTCTAGTGTCCCTGTCAATAGTGGAGAATCAAATGGAAAAGAAAATGGAAAATGAAATGGAAAGTGGGATTAAATAGGGTATTACAGGGGTTATAGTCTACACTCCTAGTATCCCCCTTGATAAGCCCTAGAATGGTCCCTACAAAATCCCATATATAACCCCTTTTAAAGAGTTCAGACTACAGCTCACATACTGTCCGCTCCATGTTGCAAGATGTGATTCATATGAACTATAGTCTAAACTCCGCGTATCCCTCTTAATAGGCCGTATAGTGCTCCCCTACATAACCTCCGATATAACCCATTGAAGGAGTTTAGACTAAAGCTCATATCAGGTCCTGCCTTGAATCCTTGGCGGCCAACCAACATAACCTCGAAATTGCTCAGATATATTGCCATGATAACACGGCTGCAGCTCCGGGCTTGAGGAGAGGATAATGTACCATAATATGTTACAATGTACTATACTATACTACAGTATAATATAGCATACTATAGTCTATTACAATATAATATACTATAGCATAGTATATTATAATATAACATACTGTACTATGTGTTTATGCTCAGGGCTGTACCAAGCGCACCCCAAAAGCCGCAGCCGAACGCAGGCAAGCTCCTGGGATCAGCGGAATTTGGATGTCGATGCAAACATGGATCAGGCTCCCATGGGTTTCCCAGTTGTTCTTTCATGTTCTGTCTTTTTGCACAGCTGTCCGGTTTCGCACGATTGGTTGCACGCTTCGTATTGCTCATGTCGCATGGGATCCCAAAACACGCCACGATGTTGCACATGTTTCACAATTTCCCAATATGTCCCTAGCTCTTGGCCTTTCCATTGCCATCCTTTTCTGCTCGTTGACCATCCACTTACTGAACTTACACCTTCCAGAATAGTAGCAGACATGATGATGGTTGGTGTAGCAGCATCGACAGCGGGCTGTAGCAGGAGTAGAGGCACCAAAGCGGCAGTAGGCTCAGAAGAAGAATGATGAAATTAACTGTTTTAGGCAGCTACGCTAGGCTTGGCCGGGCTTCAGCTCATTCGTATGGGGGGATGGAAGACACAAATCAAGAAGCAGGACAAGTACCAAGGCCAATCTAAGTGTGACCCAGGTTCAGAGTTTAACAGACTTGCTCCTGCCTGAGTTCAAAGCATTTCAGAACGATTCGGCAGTTTCGGACATCCATCTATGGATCTACGAAAGCGTCAGCATGAGACTGCGGTGCTATCGCTCAAAACTGGCAACCCCCCCCCTCAACAGTGAAGAACTGGAGAAGACAAGACCGGCAGCAGCCTCTGGTGCTTCCAAGTTTCCCAAGTTGTTGCGCTTGTTGAGATTGAAAAGGATCAGGTAGCAATAGTTTGCAGAACCTGCCAGAGTGTCATCGGCACGGAAAATCATGCACGAGCCCAGCGTGGGAATCTAGAGTCCGGAAGCTCTGCCAGATGAGCATGCTGGCAGGCGGAGTGCAGCGATGCTTGGAAGATGAATGGATGACACGTGCTGGCTCCATCTACTGCAGTGCTCATAGGGCAAGGAGACATCCTGGCCTTCTCCTTGCTCCACTGCTAGCTCTGGGGCGGGACCCAGAGCAATGCCAACAGAATCATCCTACGCGGAGTCACAGGGACTTGGCCAGTGACTTGGCGGTTTCCTGGAAAATGCTTCTCGTTTTCAGGCAGATAAAAGCTGACCAACAAAGAGTGGGACCAGCATGGGACAACCTGGGATCATGCCATTCAGCTGGACTTCTGCGGTCTAATTACCAAACATCAAAGAAAGGGAATGCAGAATGTGAAGTCCCCCCCCCGCATTGGTTTACATCTAGCGTGCTGAAAGACATACAGGCACGGCCTCTCTGCAAATGGACACCGTTTAGCGTCAATCAACATGGGTTGAACCTCCCCCCAACTTCGTTGTGCCCATACATATGCACACATCTTCAATGTGCTTTCCACACAAGCATCCAACAAGCACACGTGACGCAGTTTATGTACCAAACCTATGCAAACTATTACACGTCTGACCGTCTACTGTGCCCGTAAAAATGTTCACAATTTCTGTATGAAGACACACGTCTTAAGCTGTAGCATCGGAAAACCGACTGCATGTTGCGCGCGCGGATCCAACAATGGATAGGACCACGCTTGTTACACTCTTCGGAAGAGTTCTTCGCGCTTCAGAACGCCCCTGGCTTCGCTGCCTCTGGCAGCTCCTCTCCTTCCTCGGAAGGCGGAATCTGAACCTGACGATTTCTAAAACAACTTCCAAAAGCTTGGATGCTACATATGCCACTTAGCCACGTCAGCCATCCCTCCAGGCAAAACCACCCGGCGGCCGGACTTGACAGCAACGCTCTTTGGCGATGCTGGGATATGCTGGTTGCTAGTTTTTAGGTTCAGTTCTCCGCTTAAGTTCTGATAAGCGAGCACTTCAGAATGCGCAAGTCTGACGTGAATAAGGCTGACATTCCACATATTCCACAGCTAGAGCGGCATCTGGAGCCACGGGCCGGCTTGCTGCGCAGAAAAGATTGATAATGCCGCATGTACCGAGATGCGGTCTTAAGAAAGCATCAGGACAAGAGACAGCCAGCACACCTTGGACTGGAGGCACCTTTCGCGTACGCTATGCCGAGGATTATGTACAGGCCCAAAGCATGTTCACACCCATGCATTAGAGGACATAGAGGAATAACTCTGGCTTAGCATGGCTGCTGTTGCTGGGTTTGTGAACGTGCCGTTGAGGGCGGAGTAGCCACGCATTCAGGGTATCCAACGAGTGGATGCAAATGCTCAAGGCACTCTAGAGATTACAAGACTGGAGCTGCCACGTAAGGCTGAGGGAGCAGGAGTTTGTGAGTTTGCTGAGCCTGCAAAGCTGCCGTGTTCAGGAGGCTTCATCCAAGTGTTCTGGCCTTCCGAATCTTGTCTACAGTACAAGAACAAGGCACTCCCGTCTCACGGAAACTGAAGCCAAGCCCACTCCCAAGCAGAATCGGACCGATCACTGAGAAGATGGATGCACATGGCCTGGCGCCAACCAAGATTCTTCTATATTCTTCTCAGGTACCACAGTCAAACCACAGAAATTGCGCACTCATGCAGCACAGGTCGCAGAAAAATGCAGGACAACTCCCTTTACGATCCTAGTCTGTCCTGCCGCCCAGAAAACTAAATGATAGAAAATCCAACCAAAGTCCCACCCGGCAGATCACACTTTGAAACTTGCCAAGGCAGCAGGATCTGCCCGTATGGAACTGATGGCGCACACCATCTTACCTGAACACAAAGCAGAAGATGACTTGCTGTCACCAGTAGCCTGGTAGATGCAAACGCTTCATAGCCCGGAAGGCGCGGCTGCGCCAGCCATAACTGGGAGTTTCCCAAAATGTGGAATACCTCTTTAGGGTCCTCTATGTAGAGAAATTGCCAGCGCTATGTCTGGGATGCTGGCAACCCGCGCGTTGCCTTCGGGCAAGGAAAAGTCATTGAAACTGCGCATGTCGTCTTGAACTCTACATCTACATGATGTTCACAAGGACAACTTCCTTGCACGGCAGCTACAAAGAGCCCTCCGCTTTCACTGCAGCATTCTGTTCATTGCCGTGATATGCTTAGCTCTTTGCTGAAAACATCTAGCAGAACTTGGCTAACTCGCAAAACCTGACATATGGCCATTTCGGGGCCATTTTCTATATCAATGCACCATTTGGGGTAAGATCGGGTCAGGTGGTTACATTTTGCCTTGTAACATTAACAGCATCGGCAGGAATAGCTCCAGCACCAGCCAGGCAGTAGCATGATACACCCCATGACCACGTTGAGAAAAACACAACCTTGCTCTGTAGCTGTAGCCAAATGTACACACCAATGACTGCCTGGACGATCTTCAGCTACATCTGCCTAACGCAAATTGACACACCCCCGTGCAGCACAGTGACTGCTGAGCTTGCCAGGTCTCCATGTCCTCGCTGTGAGGCCTCGCGCATATGTGGTCATAGTCTACAGTGCTACAGAATCTCATGTCTAATGTGATATTCCACCGACATGATTTTCACTGTCATGCACACAGTCACTCACAACCTACCAGAATGCGATCCAAGCCCAGTGCAGCTTTTGCATCAGCCAGTGCAGCTCTTGCCTGCAACACCGTATCACAACCATGGAGACCGCTAAAACCTAGATGTGCCCGAGACCCCGTGCAACACAGGAATGATGAGAATGATGCCATTTTCCCAAGACCCATGATCATGTGCAGCGCCGAAGCGCTTTACAAACGAAAGGATTACAAAAGATTCAACTCCACTCACAGAAATGC